GCGATAACTTGCATGGCAAAGTTTGCTTAGACGCAAGGTCAGTGGTAAGGTTTAAGCAAAACGCGACGAAACTTTTTGTTACTGCGTTTTGTGCAAAAATATAATTGTTAAAACTTCAATACTTGCTTGTTCTGAAAATAAATACGATTCCTTAAACTTCGCTTCACTTCCATTTGATTAACTTTGCACCACATTTTTTACTTCTGGAAGGGATTATTATTCCGCCATTTTTTACTATATATAAAAATTCTTCCACAGTACAGTGTATATTAGAAAAAAGGCTGGTTCTATCTATTCTTATATCATAAGCTATTTCTTCAATGTAAACTTCTTCATGGTTTAGCCAAAATGAGTGCCTATTTCCCTCAACAACTTTGACTATTAGGGCAGTTTTCCAAACCAAATGCTTTCAAATTATTAAATCAACTCAGTTAATCAAAATAACCTGTCCAAGTATATGCTTAACTACCACGTTAGATTTCGTCATGAAAGTTGTTTGCAGGACTGGCAGGCTGTTTATGAGCGGAAAGCAGACAGTATTTTGGCAAGCCAACGACTGAAATGACCGCAATATGTGCTTAAAGTGTGAACGGATACTTAAGGATCGCCTTTGATAAATCAGTTTAAATAAACATTGCATTGATTTTCGAATTTTATCAACTACCTCCTTACATTCCTTACATAATTTGAATACACATAAGGCAATAATGATGCCTCATTCCTGTCACTAAGAAGGAAGTCCCACATGGTGAATCATCTTAAAGGCGGACTATTTAAAAGACAGGTTGGTCAGAAAAATTGGCGCGACTGAGGCACGGAAATCTACACTTGGATGGAGAAGGTTGCATTTGCCTAACAGAATGAGAACCTCTTAGCTTCAGTTGGCCCTATTTTCGGGCGCGAAGCGTTAGAAGCAGCACGAAGATGGGAGATCTTTGCCCTTCTCCTGTCCTCAACTTACGCGCAAATTTAATTCCTCCACATATATCTCGACAACCATGTGCTACCGAAGAGTTTGTCCTTAAAGCCGTCGGGGAGCGCAGGGCTAGCGAGGCAATGGGTGTTACAGCATGGCAAACGAATGACCCGGGCACTTATCCAGGACTGTCATTTGCGGCTGCAAAAATACCATGGCGTCTTAAGCCAAATTATT